GTTGTTTCCGGGCAAACTTTGCGCTCAACGATCACTTTCTTTACAATGTACTGAAAATCCATACTTGAATTTGCTGCTTAAGCGACCTTAATGGTCTTAAAATCCGCTTATCGTGCCCTATGGATAAAGAACTGCAACATGACCAACGATAAAGTCCTACAACCCATCGTCCACGTTTTTGCATTAACAAACGACCAAATGAAAATGAAAATACTGAGAACGAGTCGATTGCACCTTGAACAAGCGTTGGGGATACATTGCTTTTGCTTGAGTGATTTCGACAACTTTTTTGATAGTTGTTGTGTTGCTGATTGCTTGATTGAAAAACATCTCGTACGGATCGTGATTATCTGTAGACCATTAGCTGTTCAATTCGTTCATGTTTTTCATCTTATTTTTGAATGGTGACCATAATGCACACCAAAATCGCGTTCAAAAATTTGATTTTGAATTCCGAAGACTAAACTAAGTCCAGATTAAAAACGATCACCTTCAACTAAATCCTGCCTTGGAAGGATCTTCTTAACGCATCGCTCGAAATGATTTCTTGCAGATATTCGTCTGCAGTTAGAAATGTGTCATCTTTATCGGTGACGAATTGAAGGTTCATTGAGAAAAACGTAAAAAAAACATTTATGAGTGTCGTATCGAAAAAAAAAGTAATCAAATATTATTGTTTTTGAAAGATGAACGAATCATCAGTTGATATCATCATTTGATAGGTACAATTAACGGGTAAACAAGTTTGACTCATCAAAGAATGTATGGAACATATACCAACTTTCAGCTTTCAGTGAACTCAAGTAAATACTAATAAGCAAAACGTGATTAAATTTGTGCAATCTTGATCTGATTCGTGGAGATATGATTCGTATTGGATAATTGCACAATATGACGGTTGAAATACCTCGAAATATCATCACATCTGATGATTTCGTAGTCGTATCGAATCGGTAAATAATAAGCATCATTCGGGTCGCATGACTGCAACATGAACTCAGTTGCATCGTTGCATGTTATCAGCGAATGTGCTGAGTTTATGGTCCAATTTATTCGAATATCGCTTTTGAATGATAAAATCTCCTTGAGTCGATTCAAACTTCTCTCGAATCTCTAAATCAAAATGATTGTTGAGCTGTTGTGTTGTGCACTGCTTGAAAATAATAATAATAATAATATCTTCGATGTTGTGATAATTTCGTGAAATCATAAATGATGTTAGCAAATAAAAGAAAATCTGATATTTTCTGAAAATGGTATCCTTCTTCCACTTTCAACACCAACTATACGAGATTCCTCTTCAATGTTTAGGTGTCGCCTCAAATCACTTCTTTCCTTCAGTCTCATTTGTTCATTATAACCAGCCATTAATCATTTTCCAAAGATATTTTTTGAATGTTCATTCCAATCGTCCAACAAACAACTGCACAAACATTCGCGAATGACGATTCTTTCAGTGAATGACGTTTGAAAATATGATTTCTTCTTAGATGAACAGACAGAAAATTTGTTTTCGGAAACATTTTTGCCTTCTCAGAAAATGTTATTTTGATTGAGGCTGTCATGTTCGATAAATGGTTTTAATGTCAATAAAATGTATTGCCTATGGCTGCATTACATCCTTCACATTTTTCTCCACTTATTTTTGAATACTTTCTTCAGTTCGTCTTAATATTCGTCATGTTTCACCACATCAACGAAACGAACAATTCGCTAAAGATGATCGCAATTAATGCTCTTTTGTCAATCAAATCACCTCTTCGCCAAACAGTTTACTGTCCAAATGTCCACTGACAATACTTGAACAATTCAGCAAATGTGCATACGGATTATAATCCATCCTATCCTAGAATCATTTCAAATATCACAATATATAAGAACGGTGATGTGGTACGCGCATATTTATTAGAACGTTCAATAAAATTGACACTATTCGTGTTGGTTTGAGCAGTAAACAATCCTTGTTTCTAGACAGTTTAGGAATTGATTTAAAATTCCTATGCACAGAAACGAGAAAAAGCTGAAATATGGCTGCAATAATAATGTTAATGTCGCACAATGTGCCGAATTAATGCACCCTNCCTTATTGCATTAATCCGTTTCATGCTCATTTCGCTTCATTGACTCACTGAAATATGTGTGAAAAAAGCCAAAGAAGTCAATTCAACACTTTATTATAAAAGTAATACAGTTGCGTGGTATTGAAGAATTATTTCCTTCAGAAAATTCGATGAAAATATTGCATTCGAACATAAGTTTTTCATATTCAAAATTGTTTTTACAAGATATACGTCGGGACGCTTTTAACACCGTTCTGTTAGTGCTCTGCTGCATCAATGAATTCAATTTTATACTTTCAATTTATTATCCACTGAGCAATGTTCTTGTTGTTCTGCACTGTTTATACAATACCCAAATGTAGATCGGATACTGCGAACACTTTAGTGAAGTCAACTTGAGGTGGCGAGTGTGATGAGGATTGAGTCTGAAATCGAATCTGTCATGAAAATTCATTGTTTCGTTAGCTTATCATTGATATTTTGCTTGTTAGAAGTGAAGTTGCAATGGCAACAGTTGAAACGAGAGACAATAGATCAGTCAATCACTCAATCAATCATTGAGTGGTGTTCAACGAGCATAAATTGTTTCGTTGTGCTGAATGTGACCCCCTCCTCCACTCTCTCCCCAGAATGTGAATTGCCGGAATGAAAAGAAGAAATCATTGTAAACACTGTACGCGGAACTCGTTCTGTTCTGCTCGTTCGCTTCCTATCGAACCACATTTTTCGTATTCGTTGCTACACAAACAACCTTTTCAGTTTAATAAAACTACAGATTAATTATTGATCAGAACCAATAGCAGAATAACTATTTTCAAACACTTGTCCCTTATGCCGACTTTTGCCGTACACTCATTTTAAGTCTGTTTTTTTTTCAGAACAATGCATTCTGTTTGTTATGATTTTAGGAGGAACAATTGGAAAAGTATTTCAAGAAAAATTCAATGAATAAATTGAGAACTGAAAACGCATCCGAAAGCACTCATAAGATGGAAATGTAACAAACATGCAGTAGCAATAATTGTGTAATTACAATAACGCAATCAAGCACCTTATAACGTAATCGCTGCTTTCTGATGCTGCCCTTATCACCGCTCAACTTCTGCATGATGCCTAACATGTCAGTTTTACACTCCGGCATTATGAAGTGCACACTGCGTCTATAGACCGCAAAAACATCCGGGTCCCAATCGCTATCGTTCTCGGGGTGCTGAAATGATTTCGTTTCCATTGCTCAACAGCGCTGACACAGTGTAACGCAACGCAATAACAACAACAAACGATTCAATTCATTATTTCTCTTCTCTCACATAGAATTTCGCAAGAAGATGGAACAGAATTGCAGCAGCTATTTTTGCATTGTCCGCATAGAGTGGTCCAACAAGAAGTCTTCGCACAAAACCACCCGACAACTCTCTCAGATTCCCGAATCCTGTGATTTTACCCTGAAATCTTGAGCTGACTAACCATTCATCTTATTTTATTGATCAATTTGCTTATTCTGTTGTGCACATTCTCGGCTTAATTTGTGAATATGTCTCTTTCAACAATCAGGATTTAATCTTATTGCTCTATTACGATCAAAAGTTCTCAAAAAATGAAAAACATAAATATTGATCACTTGTCCATCGAAAGCCAAAATTGTGTTGGAATCAATATGCTGCAGCCAATTGCGAAACCACTGAGATCGATTTTCGCTACAGATCCCCCTATCGTACATCAACAAATCCGATTGCTCAGTCGATGTCAACTGGTCCAGTTGTTTCACGCTGATATCGGAATCCTAGAGAGAAACTGAATTCCTTTCCTTGAATACCGTTGTGCAACCGTGATGTTTTGATAAGTTCAAATCGCTTAAGCCTTCGCATGCGAGAACAGCCTTTCGAAAGAATATCAGTGCAACGAATACGGCTGCTGATTGGTATAGCAACTTATTGAACGTAAAACAGTATGATGGAAAATCAGGGAAAAATTTTGTCACTAGCATGGACTGGAAAATAAGGAACAAACCTTCAGTGATTCAATGCCAGATGGTTTATCTAGAACGTAATGATCGAACGTCCATCCAATGCTTTTCAATCCAAATCGGGAACATTTATCACTGAGATGGCTACCCAAAACGTCATACAAATGAGCATCACAAATGTAAATTCAAGCATTTATCATAGTAACAAAAGTGAGTTTTTCACGAGTTTCCAGTCGAAACGAAACACTTATCGAAATGATGATCTGTACACGGTTCCATGCCAACTCTTCGGGTCTGCTTAATTAACAATCAAATGATTGAAGTATCTAAATGAAGATGAATGCCATCAACTAACAAGAGTGAAATAAAATATTCTTGTGACTGCTGCATCGTTTAAGAGCTTCTTTGAATAACTGATTGCCAATGCCAGAATGACGATAATCTTCGACCACATAATAAATACCGATCACTACCGTTCCTTCATAAATTGCGAATCCAATCGAGCCAATTACATCTTCCTCTATAATTACTCCATTGAAAGGTGTAACCAAAATTCATTGAATGGATCACAATTAAAGTTTCCGTAAAACAACAATTCAATGTTCCCTTATCATTTTCAGCTGTTTCACAATATTTTTCTCGCTACTTTATTTTTTCTGAAACGAATTAGAATGTGTGAATAGTTGTTGGGCATCGACACCATCAAGGTCATTTACCTTTACAAGTTGTAAGTTAACGTCTAATAAATGAAGTTGAAGAGCGGTAATAATTTGACATTTGGTTCGAATCACATGCATTTTCGTTTCCAATCGAAGGCAAAAGGGAAATTAATATTATCAGCGTCATTTCAGTTTATTTTCTTGTATCAGCTTGCAGTAAGACGCGAAGTTCATATATACAATTAGAGAATAACAAGTGAAAAAAAGATTCTGTGAAAGAGGTTTCAAAACACAAAAAAAGATATATTTTTTCAATTTGTCCTTCTCGAATTCGTCGTTTTGTCACTACACATGCGTAGCAAGACAAAGCGAAGAGAATACTCAAGAGCATCCAAACTCATGAATTTATCGTTCACTTTGAAGGATATGTATGCATACCTTATTATAACGGTATTCAGTATGGATCATGAGCTTGAAATTTCTATGGCTCTTATCATAGAAGTTTTCTTTTTTTTGATTAAAACCTCCAAGTTTGGGAATCATTGAAATGAACGCTTCTGATGACATCAAAAGATGAATTTGATCTTAAGAAAGCATTTCTTCAATATGAGCAATTTTTGCGATAAATTTCATGGAAAGCTGTTGTTCAAATTCAAATCAGTCTGCAACTCACTTAAATTCTTTGCCACAATAAACGTGAACGAATCCTCTCCAAATGCACTCTTCCAACTCTCAAACGATTCATAATTCATGCAGTAGCCATCTGCTTCGAACGAAATGGCCACGATCTGACAGCAATGCGTTATTATCAGCATTTGTTTATTGAAAAGATAATTTTCGGTTGTTCAAATTTATCATAAATATTCAGATGTGAACGTTTGTCGTTTCGACAAGGATTTGCAACCACCGTTCATCTATGAATTATATGCAGCTATAAATACCAAAATACTGTGTTAATTATTGCATAAAATGTTCTTCATAACATATCAAATTTGTTGATTTTCCCTAATTGCTGTGAATATTTCTTCATTTCGGCTTTAGAATAAAGCGAGAACTTTGAAGGGATAAGTATAAGAGCATTATTTTGATAGTATTGTTAAAAATAGCACCACCCAATACCAGTTTATGACACGTATTATGATGGTGATCATTATTTCGTTCGCTAATGATACACATTCTTCTTCAAACTTGCTACACCCTCACACACTATCAACTATCAGTATTGGACGAAATTTGGGAATATGAATTGCTGCCAGTGGATTGATCGAATTACCTTTTCATAGTCGTTCAAATTACCAGCAACGAATTTGTACCAGAAGCCATGCTTTGAATACGCTCCAATCCACGGATCACCACAGTTCTTCGGATGCGCAATGTTGTAAGCTTTCATTGGAATTGGCTTACCGAGTTCGCGAGGTACTTGACGCTGGAGCACCTCGTTGAATGGTTCCAGTTTCTGCGTTTTCATAGCTGACGCCTGAATGCATGTATTCGTTTCAATTTTGACAATCAACAACATAACACGATTGCATGAACGAGTGATCTCAGCTGATCCCGAACGAACAACAATTGTTATCATTACTCACCGCTAGAGATCATACAATTTTGATGAGTAATTCGTTGAAGTTGCGTGCAACGACATCTCCTTAAAATCCAAAGTGTTGATTTTTATCTCACAATGAACTCAAGCTCATGAGTTACTTCTGATGTTTTTATAAACATATTCCTCACAAATTCTGAATGCAATGAACTGAAAACTCTCAGTCTCGCAATGAAATCAAACTTAAATTATTCTCAACTGAAAATGCCTTGAAACGAAGCACTCAACTTACGACAGACACGATCTCAAAGCGCATCACTTTCGAAGTGAGCGATATCGTTTTCTGAAATGTTGACAGTGGTGCACAAATATATCAGCTAAGATTTCGAATGTCAATTAGCATAATTCATTGCAAATATTGGAGAGTAACATCGACATTTAATGAATCGCTTATTGGCTGCATTTTGTCAATGGACTGACTGATCGCATAATAGAGCTGAGATGTGTATGTCAAATCCCGGCTCTAGTTTATAGCTCGTGCAATGTTTGAATATTATTACATACCTCATTTGATGTGGTTTGGCTCTATATTTCTCGGTAACTATCAGATGAGACCAAAATTTACAAACAGAAAGATACTCGAATCGAGTTTTTTGTATGTGAATTTCTTTCAGGGTTTCTTACTATCATGATCATTTTCACGAATCGAATATTTAATTGTTGATCGAAAAATTCATTATCGAAGTTCTAGCGTTGATAGAAACTGCAGAAATGATGGATGGCACTACCCAATAACGATGAGCTCAAATGTCGAAAACGAGTATTATCAAAAATTTATCGAGTATCAAAACGAGTATCAAAAATCTATCTTTCTGAGTGCAAATGATGAATCTGCAATCAATTGAACAATGCCGAAGCAAACATTAAAATGCCGAAATAATTCGTTGATACTGAATCAAACATAATACAACAATTTGCACTGTATGTAAATGCTATTTTGATTTCATTGTTTTATGTCATATTGATCGCTCGTTGCATGTCACAATATAAATGAAAATTATCATTTTTATTATTATTGTTATCATGATTAATTGTGCAGTGATGACTTGATGTTACAATGCGCTTTTTTGGATAAAGTGCATTGAAATGTTCAGCATTTAGTCATCAGTGAAAGAGCATATTTTTTGAGCACAATTTTTCGAGCAGTGAGCATATGCTGATGTGGTACGGTCGAAATACGAAATGTTTCCAATTGATGATTGGATAACAGAAGTTCAGAATTGATATACTGTCAAATCATATCGTCGGCGTTGAATTAATTCACTTGAATTAATTCACTTAAATTGCATCATGTCGACTGAGATGAATATCAACAACAACGAATCACATTTCCTTCACTTCGACTTTGTATCAAATTTGCGGTTTTTGTTACAATGATGACAGTGTTCTCAAAACAATAACATCCTGTTGACGATTAGTGACCACTTCAAAATTCCGTTCGCTACCATCTCAAATAGCATCTTCTCACTTTTAGAACGAATCATGAAATGATCAAAGTGAACAAAAATGAAAACAAATTCCTGGGGCAAGCAGTTTTTAACAATGAAATGAATCGCAACCGGTTTTTGTCGTTTTGTTTGTGCTCGAATTGTTATCAGGCAATAATATGCAGCAATTATTCAATGCTAAAATGTTAATGACACTTATTCAATGCTAAAATAACGCAATTATTCAATGCTCAAGTATTTATGACAACATTAACGTCAGTATCCCGAATTCTGAATCATTTTTCTGATCGGCTGAACGCAATGCACAATTTTTCGGAAATGTACTGATGATAATGGTATTCGTATTCCTTTTCTCTGACTCCTACTTGCTCCCGGAGTCGAAGATCATACTTCACAGTTGAAACAATCTATTAGTTTTGCAGGAGTGACGTTCGCTTGTTGAAAAATCATATCTTTATGAATGAGGAATTGACAAATCAGCTACTGTTTGTGGGGAGATCGCTTAGTTGTTTATGAGAACAAAAACGTTCCACTATAGTTTCAATGTGCGTAAATCAATCAGATACCAATGAAGAATGTTGTCACTGCAGAAATCCTCGTGGTTTTTTTATATTTCATGTTTTGAGTTCATGACTGTTATGGTTTAATTTTAGAATGTTCAGTTTCAACAACATCTGACTTTGAAAGTGATTCGTAACCGAGTTTAATGATTATACATGTGTTCAACTATCCACGAATCAAGCTTGATTACTAGGCCTTAACTTTTGCAAGCAAGTGAATGACTAGCGTAGAACAGTATCGGACAGGATGTTGTTGCATTGAAACGTGCTATCTGCTCAAAACCCTGTGAGAACATATCTGTCGGTGAGGTAGCCGTACACAGTTCTGAACCACATGCATTTGCGATCAGTCAAATGATATTCATTGATTTATTACCCGATCATTAGCCAGGAAATAAGCATTAGGATCAAATATCGAACTGGGACGAGCACTTTTGTGGGAATCATTGGCAATGAGCTCAGTTTTTAATTCTTTAAAGAGTTGCAATTGGAAAGCTGCAAAACCGCTCTCTTGAGATAACATTGTCAAGTTGAATTAGCCTCGTCAAATTTGAATGATTTGTTGACAATCTGTTGCTTCGACTTCAAAAAGTACAATTCGATTCCATTTCAGGGAATTGCTAAAAAGTTCTGATAAACAACAAGACGATAAACCGATCAAATTTTTCCGCTTGAATATTTTTTTTCTGAAAAATAAATGTCAACTTTTAATGTGGTAATCTGAGAAATGCCAAATAACCAGATGATCGTTCAATCGTAAATAATTTCCAATCGAAAAACTTGACGGAGCTGCGACAACAGAATTCGCGATAAAACTCGTTTAAATTTCACAATAACAGAAATGAATGCAAAAAATGTGAAAATAAGATTTAATTCAATTTAATTCGAGTTCACAAACGATGAAAAAAACAATCTTGTGGTATCAAAGCATTCAAAATGAAGAAATTACCTACACTAAGGTTGTTTGGGATTACATTTCGTCACCAAATGTCATGGTCTCCAACCGCACAACAATTTTTGCATCACGCCATCACTTCGCTCACCTATAAATACCCACCACCATCTTCCCAATAAATCAGTGTCGCCAGTGTCAACACCTAACTTGCTTGCAGTCATTTCATCGTTCCACTCAATTCAATTCCATCTTGTTTCATACCTCTCCATATAAATGCTAATCACAAATTAAAAACTATTTCCGAACGTGTTTTGTTCCTTCTCTTATAAGCAATGATGGCCTATTGTTCTCTTAAATGCTCACATAATAGGAGGTAAACAATAACTTTTCTGTGAATGCACTCTACGAATTTATATAACATTCTCATTCAACATCGATGATTGTTGAATTCTTGCATGCAAATTTAATTTTGGAATTGATTTGATTCTGCTCACTTTATTATTCAAGAGGCAGTCCTGAAAACAAGACGCTGAATCAGTCTTTGTTGCGAGATGTTTTTTCTAGAAGCTCACAGTCAATATCTCCAGTAATTTTAACAATCAACATCATCAGAAACAACCCTTTTCAGGATCAATGTCACCCCATCTCATTATTCATTATTTTTACACTTTTTCTTACATGTCTTCTGTGATGTTCCGTCTCATTGATCCTTTTATGAACTTTGCTCATAGGATCGTCAGCGAAATTTGTGTTATTGAAGTGTCTCGGTTCGTGAACAGGAATCGACAACATTTGTGCCACTTTAAAAGCATGAAATAAGCATTCCTGGATGTCTTATAAATATTTGACTCAATGGAAAACGATCGAAAGCAATGATATCAGCAATAGAATTTCAGCATGATTCGAATCCTCTTCACATTCGCTTTAATTGCTTTCGTGTGCAATGCGCAAGAATTCAAACGACAGTGTCAGTGTTCAGAAGTGAGACCGTGCAAAGACAAGGCAATCCAGAGTGTTGAGCCATGTGCCGATAAATGCGGGGTATATCACATTTTATCCTAG